CATTGCATGCTCCAACTACTGAGATTCGCTCACTTGCATAGCCTCCTCATAGCATTCTGGTTCTCCGCTATCTATCAAAAGTAGGTAGTCTAGTGACGAGAGATACCTGTGATTCGGTTTGGATACCCTGGATGACCTCCTAGGCTCATCGCCCTGGGTAGTCGGTTCTGCACCTGGAGTCTCCTCTATTCTTCGGTCAGAATTGACATCGTCTTCCCTATCTGAAAGTTCCTCCAAATCCATATACTCGGATGCACCCACATCCGTAGTGCTGCTCCCACTACTTTGGCCAACTTTGACATTGTCCCTGTCCTTGTACATCATTTCCTCATTGAATATGACGTCTCAGCTCCTGATGATCTTCCTGTTCTTCTCATCCCAAAGACGATACCCAAACTCATCAATGCCGTACCCAATGAATGTACACTTCAGTGACTTAGCTTCGAGCTTGTCCCTAACATGAACACTGATATGGATATATTCCACACAACCAAAGACTCTCAAGTGTGAGAGATTAACTTTCTTACCACTCCAAACCTCTTCAAGAATCTCAAAGTTCAATAAAACTGATGGCCCGTGATTTATCAAGTACGCTGCTGTATGCACCGCGTTCACCCAAAAAGTTTTTGGTAGACCTACATGTAGACCATGGCTTTTCACTTCTTGAAGATGTTGAACACCTCTGTCTCATTCTCCAGTTCATATTCTTCACCATTGTCTGATCTCAGACACTTTACTTTCAGATCTGTCTCATTCTCCGCCAAGAGAAGACACGCTAGCTGGACCCCATACATCTGTATGAACAAGTTCTACCTTGTGAGCTTTAGGTGGTCTTCCACCGTTCAGAAAACTAACTCTCTTCTGCTTCCTGAAGATGCAGTCTTCACAAACACCAACTTCCACCGAATCAATGCCTGTTAGCTTTCCTTCTGAGTGTAGAATCTTCATACCCTTCTCACTCATGTATTCCAGCCTACTGTGCTACAAATCTGCACTCTCCTTGTCGGCTACAATTGCGAGGGTGTCACTCGCATGTGAAGTTAGGTAGAGGGTACCGGTCTTGTTGCCACGGGCAACCACCATTGTACTATTAGAGATTTTTCATGAATCTCTAGTGAATGTTGTAACATAACCTTCTGCTCCAAGCTGACCAACCGAAATAAGATTCCTCTTCAACTTCAGTACGTGTCTGACATTCTTCAGAGACCACTTGGAACCCTTCAACTGTATTTGCACATCGCCTCTTCAAATGACACTACAGGGTTCATTATCCTCCAAGTATACTTTCCCAAAGTCCCCTGCTACATAGTTCTAAAATAGCCTTCTATTAGCAGTAGCGTGGAAAGAGGCTCTCGAATCAATGACTCATGAATCAGAATCGCTATCCATAGCGAGAATCAATGCATCTTGCACAATATGAGCCTCCTGCTCATTTTTGTCCTTCTTTGATGCTTTACAAATAGAAGACATGTGACCCTCTTGGCCGCAGTTCTAACATTTTTCTTTGATAGGTCTTACCTTCGAGTTCGACCTCTTCTTCTTCGACTTTGATCAATTCCTATTTTGGATCCCCCTATTATATCTTCTACCTCTCTGCTCGAGTCTTAGGGCTGAATCTGAACCTTCTGATTCATTCGATTTTCTTCTAACCTCCTCGGATAGGATCATAGCTACCACCTCATTTAGCTTCAACTTCTCCTTCCCCATCGAGTTGCTGATTGCGGTCACACAACCCGCCCAACTATCCGACAACTATGATAGTATCAGTAGGGTATGCACTTCGTCATCAAACGTGATGTCGACTGAGATGAGTTGATCAACAATCATGTTGAACTCGCTAAGATACATCGTGAAGGAACATCCTTCTGCCATCTTGAGGTTGAATAGCATTTTGACGAGATGTACCTTATTTGCAGTTGACGGTTACTCGTACATCGTTGCAAGCGCTTCCATAAGCCCCACCATCGTCTTCTCCTTTAATATATTGTGTGCTACAGATTTTACGAGGGCTAATCGGACCTGCCCCAGGGCTTTTCGATCCAATATTTCACAGTCCTCGTCAGATTCCTCTTTCTTCTTTCCTTTAGCTTTACCCATCAACGGATGGTAAAGGTCCTTCTGGTACAGATAGCCCTTCATCTGTGATTTCCAGTAGGCGAAGTATGATCCGTCAAACTTCTCAATTTAAGATTTGTCTTCTTCTGTCATTTCTTATACACACAGATCTGAACAATGGCTCTGATACCAATTGTTAGGAAATCAGATACGTTCTGATACCCGTTATTGGGAATTCAAGCTACTAAACGTTAGTACAGTTGCTCCTTAGCTATTCGACCACCTGTCAAATATGAACCCTCTATGGAATTTGGCCTATCGGATCTTGTGTTAAGCAATAGAAAAAAATCACAACAAATTAAAAATAGCAAGAACAGAGAACACTGAGTTTTAACGAGGTTCGGCAATTTGCCTACGTCCTCAGGAGCCACACAATAATTTTCTTTATATTAAAGAAGATTACAAAGCTTGTTTAAGAGTAGATCTCAACTTGAGATCTCTCAATAGAAGAACCAATAGAAAACTCTCTGTTGTTCAAATAAGGACTTGAGATTTTCCAACTTGGAAAGTCTCCTCTCTCTCTAATAAATCGCTACAGGACTTCACAAATAAATGACCGAGATTTTCAACAGCAAATCTCGTGTTCGAAGAATCGCTGGGGAGAAACGCTCTCAAGGCCGCCGCCGAGCTCTGATCTCAGAATTCGCTCGAGATTCTCCACAATTTCTCGTGCACATAGTTTCCCTTAAATAGGGAAACCCTATGGCCAAAAACGAGTGGGATCCAGCTGGATCCAACCCAACGCGCAGACGAGATTTCTCTCCGTAGCAGGCGAGGTCCTCAAAACGCTCGAGTTCGCCTGCTCAAAGCTCGCTTGTGATTCGCCAACCGAACCTCGCCTTCGCCCCAACTCTAAGCTCGCCTGTAGGTCGCCAAACCCCGCCTGTAGCTTCAACCTCGCCTGCAGAGGGTCTCGACCTCGTCTGCTCCATCCTCGCCTGAGTGAAGCTCGCCTGCGGGTCTTCTTCAAGCTCACATGCAATCAGTCGCGAGCTCGCCTGAGCTGGACCTCGCCGTCGATCTCGAGTTCGCCGCTGACAGGTATGAGTCTACACCCATTTTCAACAGTTATTAAGAAAAAGTTTGTAGAGTTTGGGGTTTTAAAAAAATGCAGGTGTTATTTAAAACAGCATAACAGGCACTAATTTAGGAATATGAAGATCATTTAGGTGTCTACTACATATGACAAAAATCATTTTCTGGTGTTTCCCTTCTTTTTATGATTTTTTTTATTCCTGCTTCTTCTTATTTAATTTGGTTAAAATGAAATGATAAGGGCCGGCAAATACATCAATTTGAGAAGCACTTCCCCTTTGTCGTAAATACATAAAAGATGAGAGCTGAGCGAAGGAGTTTTAGAGCGAATTTACCGGCCTGCAGAGAAAATCAATGAAATCAATATTATTACTAAGAGCCTGTCTGGCAACTCTAATTAGTTTAAGTTCTCGTCGTAGTTTGGAGGGGGGAAAAAACAATGACTTAAAATCGGTTAAGGTTAATTTTCCCCTTAATTAAACTGGTTTTGTTTTAGTCCATCTCCATCTACTCCAAATTAAATTAGTTTATATATGTCGAAACTGGTGTGGGGGAGAGTTGCCAACTGATCTTAAAGAAAACTTTTACGATAGAAAATGGCAACAAGGAATCAACACTATGGAAGCTTTGAATATCTTTATTTTTTTTTAAATTTTTTGACTCATAAAATTCTCATAATTTCTTTTAAATTTGAACAAAATAACAAGAGATCAGATAAAGTCCTTAATTAATACAATAGTTACTACAGCCTTTTTAGGCTTCACACCTAACTTGTGTGGTTGGTTTAGTACTTGAGTAGCTCCAAGTTGCACGAAATCCTTCTCAAATTCACAAACATCTCACGTGGGAAATCCTTTCTTTCTTGAAGTACGAACATTAAGTTAATCTCAATCATTTGAGGATAAACAAAGTTCAATGACGAAAAGCATCTTCTAAACATTAATTAATGAGCCTCCAACTCCCATGTCTTGAACGTTAATTGTAGGATAATCTAGAGATAAACGTAAGCAAGCTTGCCAAGAGTCGACTTTACGTTCATTGATTTCGAGAAAACTTATGATTCCAAAAATCAGTATCTTAGCATAAAGTCTTCACTTTTTATTTTTAATTTTTATAACATGTATCTATCTTGACATCAAAGGAACTCTTTATCTCTACATATCATAGTTTTCAGCTTATATCCATGCAAGACGTAGAAATTTTAATCCACTTTGCTCTCCTTAATTTTCTTACTCTCTGTCATTGTGAGAGTCGAGTGTTTTTTTAATAGGCTGAAATCTAGACTCACGAATTAATATTTTATTTTATAATCCATTTTAAATAGAAGTATATATAAAAAAATATTTCAACTTGTTTTACTTTAATAGTACTATGTCAAAGAACATCACTATTTAGTAAAACTCGAAAGTTGTGATAGGAACAGAGACAACAAAATATCAGGGCTAGCTCTATCTAAATGCTATAAATGGTGATATCATATGAGACCACAAAATACCACTTCTCTATAGCAATAGCAGTGGATTATCTAGGGACTATCGACTCGATCCCATGCATATAATTGAATTGTCAATTCATTTTACAGTCCCAACAAAATCAAACAACATACATTAATATGCTATTGAGCCTGTAATAGCCACAGTTTGGCCAATAGACTATAACATTATGACCCAAATTAACAAGAAAAAATATTATTATTATGCTTCTTGTCTATAATACACATATTTTGTTACAAGGCATGAGGGCAACAGGGAGGCAGAGAGCATTTTTGTGTGTTGGATATCACTTGTGAATAATTTTGGTGCATGTGAGCTTCCAACTTGTACTGTTATAGGGAGCCTCATCTCACGGATCTTGCCTCCTCCTATATCTCTTCTCATTTATTCACCAACTCCTTCACATTCTATATATACTCCCCTAGGAGATGAATGCATGGATTCAACTAATTGAAAAATAAAAACATATACCAAGAAAGTTTTGAGTTCTATTTGCTCATGGGTTCTTGGGTTCGCACCATCACCACCCCCTTCAAAAAAGTTGGCACCATCTTCAACCCACCAAGAGACAAGAAGCCTCAACCAGGTATATATTTTCTAATTTGGAAATATTTTATTTATTTATGTTTTCATATTAATTATCGCCTTAATTTTCCTTTTCTAGCTTCATCATCTGTACGTTTATCTTTCAAAAGTAATGTAAAAAAAAGTTACTAGGAGAGATGTCAGCTGTAATGCAGAAAATTTTATTATAATCTGTAAGTACTTGTTGGGGCTAGTGTTCTTATTGTACAATAATATCCTGAAATGTAGCTTCTAATCTTTTCAATTAACATAATGAGAAAGACTTCCAGAATAAACTCAAAGATGACAATGTTGCCATGCACTGAATCAGACGCCCATTTAGAAGCAATACGACACCTTAATTTAGAAATCTAAATTTAGTCTTTTTTCTTTCATTTTCTGATCTTTGGTCTCAGCACTCTCCTTTTCCCCCGTCTACTTTATGTATATTTTGAATCTATTTTCCTTAGTTAATTAAGACATTCTATATATATGGTTTTAAGGAATATTTTAGAAAGTTCTAATTTGTATATATCGAATAATATCGTAAAGGGACACTAATGACTTAACATTAGGACCAATATTAACTTAAGCAATTAAGTTTTGCAGGGCATGACCTCAATGGAATGAAGCTCCAAGGGGAGGTGATGGCTTGCACTTATGAAGATGTTCAAGTGATGTGGTCCATCCTAGACAAGTCCAAGTCCATGGACCGCAACTCAAGCTCATGAACGGGGTTCGACGAACCAAGTCATTAGGTACAAGAATGGATTTGATGGTACGTGTAATAGAAAGGAGAGTATTGGTGTTCTCATGATTGTGATCAGTTGACATGTACGTTGCTTCAATGTAATCCCCATGGATACTTATAATCTATGGTGAGATTTTTTAGTTGTAATTTAATGTGCAATTTAGAGCTGGGTTAATTAATTATGTTCCACAATCAACCAACAGGAGGTTCGTTGGTTATGAATAGAACGACGTATAAAAATTAATCTAGGGTCTCGAGGTAGAATTATTCAACAGACGTTAATTACGTACGTTTGTTTACCATCCTTCATGATCATGCAAATATAGCAATAATACTCTAAAACATAAACAAAAAAAAAGAAGAGATTAAGAAAGTGATAATTTTCATTATAGTAAATCGGAAAAAAGAGGACCGGCCGGAGACCACCCTAAGAAAACTTGGTTATATGTAATCAAGAAATTAGATATATGGTACTGATTAATTTAACAGAACCCAGTAAAAAAAAACAGGACTTGTATAAGGGTTCTAAAATTTTGGATTAAAGACTTCATTGTAATTGTTGTATAGTAAACAAAAAGAATCACATGCAATGAATTCTCAAACCTCAATGGAATGCAAGATTTTACCAAAGAGGGAACACAAATTTTACCCTCATTATTCGCTTAGAAAAATAAATAGAAAGAAAAGATATTTTTCTTATAACAAATAAATTTTTAATGACTGGCTCAATCAGGGATTTCCATCATAGGTAGGGCTAAATGCCTGAAAAGTATTAGAGCTGGTTTTGCCGCTGGAAACCTTAAGTCTTGATTCTCTTACAATGGCAAAT